CAGGCCTCTCTCTTTCTACTTCTTTGCTCTCAGTTCCTGTGTCCTGTCCTGGAATGGGGTGAGCAGTCCTGCTCTCCCAGACGTGCAGACCCCACCCCAGCGCACAACTTGGCACAAAGCTGGACAAGGCTGTCTCTTGAGCCAACCTCCTTAGAAACCTCTTGGGCTTAGAAATTGCAAAACTGTCATCCTGTTCCATCCACATGGGATACGGGGCTTTGGAATATCATTTCACACAATCAGAGAGTTTGGTGTCTATGGTGAGTACCATAAGAATAAAATAAAGCCTCTGGACACTGGGCAGTCCTGTCGGGAGAGAAGTAGCTTCGAAACTATTCTGGAACACGAACAGCTCAGGTAGCACAGGCTCAAGGGGTCCCCACAACAATCTGGCAAGGTGGGTGTGCTTATTACGAATGTCCTATTAGCAAAAATCTTCAGTCAAAAAAAAAAAAAAAAAAAAAGAACGATGTTCCCATTTTACAGGTGGGGAAATAGAAGCACAGAGGTTAGAAGTGTTTTGCTTTATAGATGAGTCAGAATGTCTTTTGCTACAAGTCACAGCTCGATCAGAATTGTCTTAAACAATGAGGGCCACTTACTTACCAGCTTGGATACTGAGAAGTCCGAACAGGAAGTGGTTCTGGGATTGGGCGATTCAGCAGCTCAACAGCTCGTCCCAGAGGGCAGGTTCCTCTTCTGCACGTCCTTTCCACTCTGGACTACTTGCTGCCCACGGGTGGGTTTGTAGCTTGTTGTCACTCATGGGTCAGACATTGTGACGAGGCCCTTTCATGTGCCCTCTTTATGGAGGAGGGAGTTGGGGCCCGAGCCACGCCCCCACGGTATCCCCAGGACGTGTCCCGGGTGTTCTCCCTCTGTTTCCAGGGCTCCTTGCTGTCGTGCTGCCCAACTGCAGTGTCAAGGAGGACGAGAAGGGCAGGGGTGTCTCAGGGCTGGTTCACAGTGAGGTTGATGGAGACCCTGCACTTCAACACCTAGCCCCTCCCAAGGTCACCCCAGATTTCATCAGCCAGAGCCTGGAGGACAGCTTATGGGAGGTTTGGCAGGGGCCACCCCCAGGACCGGTGCACATCACTCCTCTTATTCCGTGGGCTGGGACTCAGCTGTGGGGCTGTGTGTGACCCCAAGAGACGCCAGTTGGGTGTCGGGGGAAGAGGACACGAGTTTGGGAAGCCACACTTGATTTTGAATTGGGACCCTCGACTCCCTGAGTCTGTTTTGTCACTCGAGGCGCAAAAGGCAGTGACCTGCTGTCGGATCTGTGGGGAGGGACCATCGAATCCTTTCATCACTACCGGAGCCGTGGTCCCCTCCTGCGAAGCACTTGCCTCTACTTACTATGGTCCCCGTACTTGCTAATGACCCTTCCCCGAGAGCTCCAGGACACGGCCATGCGTCTCTTCACCAGCGTGCAGCCACACGGACCAACCCGGAGCCCAGCACTTAGTAGGTGTTCAGTAAGTGCGTGTCGGGGGGGTGAATATTTGGATGAGTTAATATGAACGTGTACGTGCTCAGATTTATTTACTTTCTAAAGAATTCTTCCTCCATACATATTCCACCTCCAGGTTCCATCACGGTGTGCTGGTGGGCGGGGGGGGGGGGGGGAGGAAGGTGAGGAGGAGGGAGCACACCTTCCCCCCAACCCTAGAGGAGTCCGGACTATAAATAGCTCCAGTTGGAATCTGACTGCAGATTCCTCCAGCAAAGTCAGCATTCCCAGGACCTCTCATCCTAGATGGGGACCAGGAGCGCTTCCTCATTAATCACGGCTCTTTAATTAACAGCTCTGAGCCTGGAACGAAAGGTGCTTACCGGGAGAACGCCAGCGGGCCCTGAACTCTGGCCGCCTGCTTGGATTTGGAGGACGTGGCGCCTCGGGGAGCAGGCCTGGCATGGCTCAGCGCTGAGCCCGGCGGGGGTTGGGTTTGGAGGGCGGGCAGCTGGCAGGCCGGCCGCCTGTCTCCGCCTCGGACATCACCTCGCAGAGCTGACTCGACTCCGAGCAAGTTGCAGGCAGCTCTGTCCTCCCCGGGCACAGGGAGGGGAGGTACCCGGAGCAGGATAGTCGAGGACAGCCATCTCCCAACTTGCACGCCTACTAGATAGAATCACTTCACAGAGCTTTGGAAACATCGAGGCAGGGTCCCCTGAGATTCTGCTGTAATCGATCTGGGAGGGGGGCCAGGCAGTGGGAGCCCAGTCTGAGAACCAGTACTCAGGGATGGCAGGCTTGGGAAGGCACTGAGGCTTGACCGAGAGCCTGGCGGGAATAGCAAAGGCCCAGGCAGGTCAAAGTCCCTTCTTTTCCGCCTTGGCTGGATGTGGCAGGAATGGGACCTCCAGTTTCCTTCTCATTCCCTGCCTTCCAAAGATGCTCAGAGGAGTATCTGCCCAGAGAAGCAGGGAATCAGGACAGGGGCTGGAGAGGGGAGGGGGCACAGGCTGGCCCAGGAGGCCGTGGCGGAGCCACAGCGGAGATTCGCCCCAGGGATCTCTGACATGCTTTGAAGGCTCCTCCTTTGCGGGCTGTGGGATACAGGGAGTGGCTGGTTAAAGAGTATCAACTTGCAGCTAGAACGGGAATGCGGGGGCGAAGATCGAAGATCTAAAGGAAAACGTGGTGGCCGTAGTTGGTAACACTGTACCGTATGGCTGAAATTTGCTAAGAAAGTAGAACTCAAGTGCTCTTATCAAAAAAAGAAACACCGCTGAGGGGCTACATATGTCAATTACGTGGCAGGGACCCTTGCACAATGGATACAAGTATCTTGCAATTTCATTTGTCAGTTATATCTCAATAAAGCTGAACCCGCCTAGCTCTCCCCACCGCACCCCTGCTCCCCGTACTCCGAGCCGTGCCGTAGGGGCCCCGTACAGCCCAACCGGGTCGTTACAGAGTCCTGTCAGCCCGGGCAGTGGCCTCCTCATCTGTAACATGGGGGTCACGCTCTACAAATCCCCAGCACGTGTGACAAGCAGGAGGTGCTCAGAAAATCCTCGGCCGATCCCTAACGCCCGCACCAGGGATGGCAGGAGTCTTCAGATCCCTCAGGCCTGCCTGCAGCTGACAGCAGGCACCTGGAAAGGGAATTGGGGCCACACTGGAGATCAGAGAAAGGGTGTGGGGGTTGATTAGTGATGTCTGTCAGGAGTGCAGAAAGGGCAGGTGAGGGCGTAAATGTCGTGAATTTGTCATCCGGGTCTAGATGGAACTGTACGAAGTTAGGGACTGTGTTTTTCTCGTTCCCGTTTGTGGCCTTGTTGTTTGGGAGAGAGTGGCGTGGGAGTAAGCCCTCAAACGCTTGTGGAAGGAAAAGTCTGTTCCATTGCCTTGAATTTTTTTTTCCCATCCTTCCCTGGGTCTTGTCTTCTCTTGAGTTCTTTTCATGGAGTTCAGTTTCCGTGTCTCCTTCTCCGTAGTGGTGGCGACAAAGTCCCTCAGGTTTTTTCGGGCGGGGGGAGGGGCTGGTGTGATGTATGAGAGCCCGTCAGGGACCTGGGGGTCCCATCTTCCGGCCCCTTCCCTGGCCTGGCATTAGGCAAGCCAGTTCCCCTCTCGGAGCCTCTCATCTGTCCTTTCTGTCGTATGGGAGTCACGCTCATTTCCTCGCACGGTGTCCCAGTGATTGCATGATTAAATGCATTTAAAATGCCCAGAAAACGTAAGGGCTCAGTCGCTTGTGAATTTCAATGCCCAGCCTTTCTCCCTCCCCTTTCACGTGCCCCTGCAATGGGGTGGATGCAGGAACGCTCGTATCCTCCTCTTGACCTCACTTCTTTGCTGGTAAGTCCTCACGCTCTGCCTTCCAGACCGTTCATGCCCCCTTCACCCTTCCCTACCCACCAGGCCTCCATTGTTTTCCAGCCTCTCCTCAATCCAGCCATCCTGTTCTATCCACATGATTTTATTTTCTCACGTCGGAGATTCCAGGAGGGTGCCCGATCCCACTGTTCCCTCTGCCCAGAGGCTGACGCCCCCAAACTCTCAAGTGGGAGTCAAAGTGTTGGAGGCCATCCACCCCCTTCCCCAAAGGTGTTTTCCTCACTCCCGTTGTTGTTCCTTAATCCATTTGAGAGCTCATTTCATATGCAGATTCCTAGACCGGTTTGGAGTGGAGGTTTCCAATCTATGAATTTCAAGCACCCAGGTGATTCTGATTCATCCTCAAGTTTGCCAATAACTTGGAGAATGTTCCTTCAGTGAGACCCCTATTCGAACGGTCCCTTGGGATGCCCTGGTCTCTCTGTTTGCTGGCTTTAGCCTTTTCCACTCTTTGTGGCTGGGGCTCTTGGTCTGGACTACACATGAGATCCCAGATCGATTACACCAGGATTTTGGGGGTGAGGCCCTGGCATTGGTCCTTCCAAAGGGTCTTCCAAGTGGTTTGAATGGGTGTCCAGAGCCACTGGATGGATCCCTGTGATTCCAGCTTCGGAGGAAGAAGGGAATCCTTGGTCCTTTCCTTATTTCAAGAGAAGCAGATTTCTCCCTGCTCTTCCCTCTTACGTCTTAGGGAGTGGGGCAGATTCTAGATACCGGACCGCCCCTTGTAGGCAGTGGACAGAGTTATTGCGTGTTTCAACCCCTTTTTCCTCATGGACTTGTCATTCCTCCCTCTCACCCCCAGGGAACTGGCGTAGAATGGCAGTGATTTTGGCCGTCTTCTGCCACGCACAGGTTAGTACTCCTGTATCTCTGTTTTTCTGCCCCACGTGGCTGGCAGGGGTGTTAGGTATTGTGCCAAGATTCAGGTTGGGCACCAGAGGGCTGGGGACACCTGCTCAGGACGGGCCGGCTCTGACACACCACCAGTCCTGCCCCTTCTCCAGGAGACGAAACCTTGTACCCGGGAACCCTGCAGCCTGTCTAGTAAGTATGTCTGAGGAAGCTTGCCAGCTCCCCGGGCGGCTTATTCCAGACTGGAGAAGTTTGGGGAGCCAGATTCACCCCTGCCACCTTGCTCCTGGATCACATCAGACGAGCACAGCTTTTCACTAAGGTAATTCTCGTCCACAGGGGCCTCCGTGACCGCTGTGTCATTCGGTGCTATCCCCCCAGTTGCTTATCATGCCTTATCGCTATGAACTTACTTCAGTTGGTCATTATGTTTTCTTGTTTCCTTGTGTATAAGCTCCACCAGGGCAGGGACCAAGCCCGTAAGACGTAGATATCACACTTGCCTCTTGCAGTTTGAGTTTAATAAGGGGACTGTCCATATCTACAAGGGTGTGGGCAGGTGTACCCCAGGGCTTAGCAGCATTAAGAAGCCGTTACCGGGATGCCTGGCGGGCTCTGTCGGTATGGCGTGCGACTTTTGATCTCAAGGTCGTGAGTTCGAGCCCCATGCCGGGTGTGGATCCCACTTAAAAAGAATAAATAAATAAATGATAAAAAAAAATAAGTAATAAAAAAAAAGCTGTTATTAACCCAGTGGCTGATGGGCAGAGAAAGGCACTGGAACCAGAGGAAACGGTGGGGAGAGGGCCACCTAGCAGGAAGAGAGGCTGTCGGTTGCTCTCGAGTTCCCGGAAGCACCTTGGCAAATACTGTGGCCTCACTCTCCTCCTACCTTCTGGGCTCTCATTGGCTGAGCCTGACTGGAAGCCAGAGGGGAGGAGAGTCTGTGGATGCATTTCCCTAAGGTCACCCTCTAGGGCTGCAGGGCAGAGCGGAGAAGGGCACAAGGGGACCTGGAGGGGCCTGTGGAAGGTACGCCGCGTTCAGTGTTGTGTGCCCGGAGCCTGGCACTTAGTAGCAGCTTATTAAATGCTGAACTAGTCGAGTTTGACTCTGCATTGAAGAGATCGGTCATGCTGCCTGGTCCAGGGACCAGGTCATGCTATCGAGCCTCACATAATGCAGTCCTGTGACCGCTGTCCAAGCTGCTCGTGCTTTTCTGAGCGTACTCATGGCAGTTATGTCCCTCTAAAGCGTGTAGTCTAGGTGTGGTCCCATTGGCCTGGAGCAGCGGGACTCTCCCCCCACCCCCTCCCCTCCTGTAACCTCTCTGAATACAGCCTGAGATTCTGGTATATTCTGGGGGCATATGTTGCGATGCCTCCTTGCTGTCGCGTGAAATCCCTACACACTCCCATGAGCTGCTGAGCATATAATCAATTCCATTCCAGGATGTAGGTCTGCTCTGGGCACCGTCTCACTGGAGAGTATGATCTCCACCTAGATCCAGAATAGCAATCACCACACAGAGCATGCTCCTGTGGCAGACATGATGAATCACCCATGGTTTCTCCTCTGTTGCGCCTCTGAATCCTCCTCAACACGGTGGTTTAGACAGTCAATCCCAATCTACGGGAGGAGGTATACGAAATAAAATGTATTTGGCATTTTTGTCCTAGGTGTTGCTCGTTACTTCGGAAATGAAAGACGGAAGTAGGAACCCTCGTATCTCAACGGGCAAGGAATTGTTTCTATCAGAGCACAGTGCCAGACTCACGGAAGCTCAGAAAGCTGGAGCCGAAAGGTAGGGGGGGAACTGAGGCAGAACCTTTCAGTGGGATCTGGAGTGAACTGTGCAGCCGGAGACCCACTATCCCAGCGGAGGCTTCAGGGACCGGCTCACCCACTGGGTTTACAGCCCTCTCGAGATGTGCAGCGGGCTTGCGCAACCTGGCAGAGGGGTTTCTGCCTCGGTTCCTCCGCCTGGAGCCCGAGTTATTTGTCGGAGCCAGACTTCTGACTCTCTTTTAGTAGGGTGGATTCTGGTGCCGAACCTTCAGTTTGCTGGTCCACACTCAGTCACCCTCGCTTGGCTAATCCGTATTCACCCTTTAGATCATGCCGTCCAGTAGAAATACGATGCCGGCCACAGACGTGAGTTAGCTCCGTACCTTTAAACGTTCTAGCAGTCGCGTTAAGAGAGAGTAAAAAGAAACGGGTGAAATTAATTTTGAAAATACGTTTTACTTAACCCAGTATGTCCCCACTCTTATCATTTTGACGTGGAATCAATAAAAAAATGGCCGATGAGCCATTTTGCATGCTTTCTTCTGCACTTTGAAGTCTTTGAAATTTGGCGCGCATTTTATCCTCGCAACTCGTTCCAATTTGTACGAACCACGCTGCAAGCGCCCAGGGGCACACGTGGTGAGGGGCCACCATAGGGGATAGCACAGGTTTACGTCTTAGGGAAATCCCCTGTCCTCAGGCATGGCCCTGAGCTTGGATATATTTGCTCCCACACTGGGCTCTCCTTATCAAAAGAATTGTCATAGTTTACTGTTGTTGCTAGTTCACTATTTCTCTTTCCCTCCAGGTCACACGTTTCGTAAGGGCAAGGAGCTCCTCTCTACCCAGCTTGCCCGGCATACAGGAGGGGCTCAATAAATGCATGTTGCAGGAACAAGTTAACATGGCCCTCTATCCTCCAGGAACCCCGAATACCTCTGTGTTCTATGCTCTACCCCCGTCCCTGCCTCAGTTTCTCAGATCCCTGCCCATCTCACGGCCGTCTGTTGGGACGGGCTTTTATCTGGCCTGGTCCTGAGGCACCTGACAGCTGGGATTATTAGTAGGCAGCCCAGGCAAGGGCCTAATGGACTTGGGCAGGGCCCGTGGGGGAGCCGGCACCGTGCAGAGGGCAGGCAGAACTGCCTGGGATGAAGGATGGGCCTCCCTGCTGGCCCGGGGAGGCGCCACGCACGCACTTCCCACCAATCGGTGCCAGCAAATGTTCCAGGGACACTGCTAAATGCCTGCTGTAAATCTTGCTTAAAGGGCCATCAAGAGCAGCTTTTGGCTGCGAGCATCTTTGCCATTATTCTTTACTAGGCCCTTTTAACGTAACTGGGAACAGGGCAATATTTTGTTCATGTGTAGCTGTTGGAAAGAAGCTCGGTGAAGTTTAATGGCCGAGACCCGGACAGCAGGCTTACCCTGGGAGGGACCTGGGGCCAGCTGCAGCCAGCTCTGGGGCCTGCGGGTGGGAGGGGTGGGGCGGGGTGCTTCCTGTCCCGGCTCTTGAGGGGCCCTGGAGCCTGTGAGGACACAGGAGGAACGCACTTCCTCCCCAGGGCCACCCCACACGCCTTGGGCGGGGTGAAAGGCTTGAGACTTCCAGAGGCCCCCGCTGACCCCTGGGTCCTGGAGCAACCAGGGAACGCAGAGCAGGAGGCTCCCAGGAGAGGCGCCCCGCGGCCAGGCAGCCCTCTGCCCCCAAGTCAAATGCCCTTTCAGCTTCAACAGGAATAGCGTTGCCTTAGTCCCCATAGTTCTCCACAGGGGGTGATCCACTCCCTCCAGGGACCTTCTGGCCCCAGCCCCCTTCAACCTCAAACTGTCCATGCAGTGTGCCAGTTCCCGTCAAACTGTTTCCAAACATGCAGTAAGTAGCTCATAATTATTTTGGAGGAGACACCTCCGTCATTCAAATATCGGAACTAGTTAAATCGTAGCCAAGAGTCCATGTGGTCCCCTACCGGTGATTTTTTTCTTCTCTCTCACAAATGTGGCGCTCCTTGGTGACCCTCAGGCAGGGTTGACACATTGCCCAACTCAAGGAGGGAACCACTCATATCACCGTCCGTGTGAATGGCACCTCCTTGATTTGTGCAGTGCACACCCTGGACAACCAGACACGACAGCCCGGTCTTCAGCCTCCAGCAGGTCTCCGCCTTGGCATGGTGTGGAATGTTGCCGTGGGGTCTGACCGTGTGGTTCTCAGAAGGGGTGTTCGTGGGTTAGGTCCTCTTGATAACCAGAGGCCTCTGCCGTCACCGGCGGGTCTGAGCCTGTCGTCCCTCCGCTTCAGCATGCTAGACCAGAGGCTGGCCAATTATGCAGTTTTATTGGACTGTAGCCATGCTCATCTGTTCATGCATTGTCTGTGACTGCTTCCAAATGGCAGAGCTGAGTAGGAGCCGCAGGGATCATGCAGCCCTCAAAGCCAAGCCCATTTACTATCTGGCCTTTCAGGAGACCGTTTGCCACCCCCACCCCAGACTGTGGGGAAGGAAGAATGGCTTCTAATGCTTACCTGCTTGCTGTCTCTGGAGGCCCCAGGGGCTTTTAGTGACTGCTTTGATCACGCAAGCCCAGACATAGCTACGTCTTTTCTTGGTGCCGCTGACGTAGAGGAATTAAGAGCGTCTAAATGTCTTTGTTTTGCCCCGTCGCTGGCATCTGATTCAAGAACCGCGGCCCCGGTGCCGCGAGGGCCAGGATTCAAGAGCTCATTCTCCGAATGTTTATTCTACCCGCTGAGTGTCAGTAGCCAGGTGCTGCGGTATAGACAGAAACAAGACCCAGGCCCACAGGCTCTGACCTGAAGGACGTTGTGGACTAGTGAGGAGGAAACGTATGCGCACAGATAACTGGAATGTGCTACGAAGAATGTCCTGGAACACTGGGCCTGTGATAGGCTCCTCCCTGCAGGCTTTTTAGGGAGGAGGGGGATACATGGATTAGGCCCTACAGTAAGAATAGAAGCCTTCTAGGTATACGAAGGAGGGATATTCTGAGCACACGGTCTCAGTCCGGAGGTGGAGTCAGTCCCTCTGGGACTGAATGTAGGAATCCGGAAAGCATTCATTAAAGTTAGTGCCCTGGGCCTGATGTCCAATATTATAACCCTGCACATACATACAGAGACTCCTGTCTCCAGCGCCTGTCGAGGCACACTTGCCCTTGTGTAGACAGACGATCACGTGGACGTGCTGGGACGGGGTGATCGGTGACTCTCTCACGTCAACCTCACTCCCCCCCCCCCCCCACCACACGTGTTTGGTGCACAGCTTTGTGCACACGACTGCGGATACCTCGAGGCTGGAGTGTAAGCACACGCACCCATACACTCCCGCACGGTGGACCTCGTCCTTGGTCTTCTGTCCTCAGTGTATGTGACCATCCACGCTTCATTCTCTACTATCAGCGGTAACCTGGCCCTGGAGCCCGGAATGCAGGACTGGGGGACGTACTCAGATGTGGCGGCCCTTCCACAGTTTCCTCTTCCTCCCACTCTGGCCCCTCTTCTAGTCAAGCTGCCCTTCTCGGCGAGGACGCATGGGCTGTGCTGTGATCTGGGGACAGAGAAGTGGGTGCTCCATCCAGGTTGGAGCCAGACGTGAACTCTCAGAGGGCTTCCTTACTCGTGTCAAGGCCAGGACCCAGGAGGCTGGTTATTCAAGTCATCACGTGTCCCTGCATCTGAGCACAATTTCTGTCACTGCCTGTCCGCTTCCTGGAAGTCGGGCCCCCGGGAAACTTGGCATCCACTTAGCGAAGGGGCAGGTGGACAGGAGACCAGAGACACAGAGGTGATAGATTTTAGGGGTGTCTCCGCCACAGGTCGGAAGATGACCTCCTTCTCCTCCTGTTTGTGTTGAGTCTTGGGCAGTCGGCTGGTGTCCCACGCTGGGAGAGTGCCTGTGTCCACAGATTCTATTTATCTTGTGTACTTCCTTATTGTAGATTTCATCATGGGCAAATGATAAAATGAGCATGGCAGGGAAGACATCAAAAATTTGCACGTGGCAAAGGAGCAATATTCCCAATAACTAAACAGCTCCTGCAAGTGGATAAGAGACAGATACTCTAATTTAAAAAATGGATGAGAAAGAGACAAACACTCTAATTACAAAAAACAAGCAAAGGCTCAGAGCAGGCAATTCACAAGACACATGTGAATGTCCTGTACGCAGAAAAACACGCCCAACTTCACGGGTGATCCGAGAGGTGCAAGGAGGAGCCGGATCACTTGTTACTGGCAATGGTTACAAATTAAAAATAACTGACTTCTTCAAGGTTGCAGGGAAGCGAAACGCTCACGCACTGTGGGGGGTCAATGAAAATGCACACACCTTTTCTGGAGACGCGACGTGAGAAAGTTTATCTAAATTTTAAATGTATGCGCCGTTGAAGCTGGTGCTTCTACCTCTTGTCCTCTATCCTCAAGGTAATAAGTGGACAAGTTCATACAGGTGTAGGAAGAGGGCTACGCATCATCGCCTGGTGGCTAGGGGAAAAAAGGAAACACCTTAAATATCTATCTATGTGGGAGTAGTTAGATACATTCTGATACAACGGCTAACAAGCGTGAGAGGGGTATGCTTTCAGAGGCACAGAAAGAGCTCCTCGACATGGGAGCAAAAAATCAAGGCAGGGGGTGCATAGCATGATCCGCTGGTAAAATCACACCCACGGTGTGGGGGGTTGTAAATCACAGAAGGGCTGAATGTTGGTGGTGGCCGTCTCTGAGCGCGGAGACCCCGGAAGGATGTTTGGTTCCTTCTTTGGACCTTTCTGAAGGTGTAGATTTGTGTAACAGCCAGCGTGCGTGATCTCTGTCCGCTTAAACGTAAAAAACATCGCTCTGCCACGGCACTGACTTGGTTGCTGTGGCTGGTTGGGCTGCAGTGAGATCTACCGTAGGGAAGTGCCAGAGATCAACAGAACCTGTGGACGCGTTCACTCTGCCCAGCGTGGGACGCCAGCCGACCGCCCAGGACTCATACGCACCAGCCAGGATGGAGAAGGAGGTCATTTGTAGACTCCTGGGTGAGTGACGCAGCCACCTCCCTTTGTAGATGGGAAAGCTGGTTCATCTCAGAGAAGGGAGTGTGCCTTCGTTCCCCTTTGCTCGCCACTGGAGCCTTTTCCACTTTTGCCTTTGCCTCTCCGATGGGCCTCTGAACCCATTGGGCTCATCTATCACGATCTGTAATCAGCTAGCCCACAACGCCGCCTCTCCATCATTAGGGCCTTTGGCGGGAGCTGGAGAGGAGCCGTTGAAGGAGCAGGCGGTGTG